CATGGAGGAAGACCGGAGGCAGCAGCAGGATGCTACGCATGGTGGGCGGGAGGGGGCGGGCAGCAGCAGCTGCGCTTACCCGTGTCGTTCAGGCCGCCCGTCTTGCGCACCACTGGGATGGTACCGTAGCGCATGGCGATCATCTGCGGTAGGGGCAGTACCAAGGGGCAGTACAGGGCGCTAGGTGCACAGCGGGAGGCGCCACCCAGGGATGCAGCTGCCCGCCCCGCTCAACCAGGCGCGGTGTGGGCAGCCGCCTGCCGCCCAGCCCCTGCCTAGTGCAGCCGGCTGCCTGGGGGCTGCTGCCGCACGGTGCAGGAGCGCACCTGCGTGAGGCCGCAGGGCTCAAACACGGAGGGCACCAGGAAGATGTCGCAGCCTGCGATCGGGAGGGCAGGAGGAGCACGCTCAGAGCCGTGGGCCGAGGTGGAGGCCCATGGCCGCCATCCCACTACTCGGCATCAGCGGCAGCAGTGCCTGCGTTTCGCGGCTGTGCGGTACCGCCCCAGCGGTATCCCTCTGCCCCCATGTTCCCTGTTTCCCAGCGCCCACCAGCGTAGATGAGGTGGGACAGGGGCTCGTCGTAGGCAAAGTGCAGGCGGGCGCGGTCCGGGTACTGCGCCGCCAGCTGGTTGGACAGCTCAGCAAACTCCGCCTGCGGGGCGGGGCGGCGAGTGGGCGTATGTTTGACCATGTGTGCGTGTGCAGGTGCGTGCAGTGGAGTGCGCAGGGACAGAGCAGCTGGGAAGGGAGGCAGAGAGACTGAGGAGCGCGAGCGGGGAGGGGGGTTGGGGGGCTTAAGCGCCAGGGTCAGATAGGTTTGGGGGCAGGAAGAACAAGCTGCTGCCCCAAACAGCTGCCGCCTGGTGTGCTGGCCCGCCGTCCAGCACTCCCCATCCTGTCGGCTAGGTGGCCAGGCAAGGCTAGGTCTTCATGAACCCCAGCAAAACAAACACACACCACACACACACACACGCACGGCGTGCGCTGCCGCCCGCACCCCGCCCCGCACCTGCACTTTGGGGTCGGGCGCGGAGCCCAGCAGCACAAACTGCGCGCCGCGCTCCAGCGTGCGCCAGGCGGCGTGCTTGATCAGGTGAATGCCCTTCTGGTGCGTCAGCCGCGTGACGCAGCCCACCACGGGCACGTCTGCAAGCCGGGGAGCGCGGGGAGGGCAGCAGGCGCTCGGCCTCGGCAGGCCGGCACAGCACATGGCGGCGCCGGCCCACGGGCACGCGGGGGAGGACGCACGCGCGGTGCGGCCAGCGCAGGCGCGCATCCCCACACACACCAAAAACGGAGCCGCGACTGCGCCACACCACACCACACATGCGCGCACACACGCCGGCGCAGAATGCAACAGAATGCATACCACCACCGCCCGCTCACCCGCTCCCGACAGGTTCATGCGGCTGCGCAGCTCGGCCTTGGCCGCCGCCTTGCCCTCGATCACGCTGTCTGCCGTGTAGCCGCGCGGCAGCAGAGGGTCCTCTGCAGGCGCGGCAGGGGAGGGGGAAGGGAAGGTAAGGGCAATGGGGCAGAGGGGAGGGAAAGGAGGTGTCAGGGAAGGGCAGAAGGGCCATCAGAGACGACAGGTGAGCTGGCGACGAGCGCCAGCTGGCGACGAGCTGGTGCTCATGGCTTGCTGCCCGGTCCCGCAGATACCCCAACGCGCGGGCACGCCACCCACCAGAGGGATCCCAGATGTCGGGGTCGATTCCGTTGCGGATGCCGAAGAACTTGCCTGCAAGGGAGGAGGGAAGGAGGGAGAGGCGGGCAGAGGCGGCATCGGAGCCGGGAGCTGCACAGGCGCATCGCATGCGGACGCCCATGCAGCCTAGCAGCAATCCAGCGTGTCGGGAGCGCGGGACTGAAACAAACGGGGCCGCAAGGGGCCGCCTGCAGAGGCGTGGCCCAGCGCCAGCTCAGCGCCAGCTCACCATAGTGCGGCGCCACCGCCGGGTTGCCACTGAT